ACTCTTTAGCCCAAAGAAGAAGTAGCGACGCTTGAATCAAGTCTCAGGTATGCAATACTAGTACTTTTCTTTGAGGCTGACCCAGTAATACACCTTAACTCATCTCACATGTGAGAATAAACGTTGCAGTAGCAAGTACGAGCTCCTTCTTCTCTCTACTTGTGCTCCATTCTAAATACCCTGCGCTGCGCGTTCTGAAAGAAGTGAAATGTAGATCCAACGATCGAGCATGATAAACAAGGAAGTGACATTGCATGTGATGTCTGCAAGTCCATCAGAGCAAGGAATTAAAACTGAGCTGACAAAGGAGCCGCATACCACGCTGAGAGCACAGAACACTGGGTAGGGATCGTTTGAAGAAGTGAAGGGAGAAGTAATGAACAGACGTGGGTCATACAAACAGCTGGCGCAAATTTCTCTAGCTTGACCTCATCTTTTCCCATTGACATTCTGCACCTTGCAGGAGATAACACTGCTGATACGACAGAGTAACAAAGACTTCTCCCACTCAAAAGAGATCATCATTGCTCGTCGAGTACACAACCCCTCCCGCAAACGCTCCGTACACCTGTAACCGCAGCGTCATTCCCTCCCTCCCTCCTCCCTCCTCCTCTCCTCTCTGCCACAAGTCGATGACCTTGGAAGTCTGACTGAAGAGGAACGGGCTCGTCACCAACGACCCCCCCAGCAGCTCCAGCCCCTCCTTCACTCGCCGTGTCTCTCCCGCCCCCTCCTTCTCCTCAGCAGCGCACGTCTCTCTTGACCCCACGCACACTCTCCCCGGCAAGACTTTCTGTCCCTCTCGCACTGCCACCCCTCGCGGCCGAGACGTCATGATGCACACGCCCTTCGTCTGCCCCTCCCCGTCAGTACAGGCGTACCCGGAAAGCTCTTCCTCCTCCGCCAACCCCCCCTCCCCCCGCTGCTCCCCCCTCTCCCCCCCCTTTTTCCCTGATCCTTCGTCCTAGTCCTCGTCCTCCCTATCGTAAGCCTCCCTCCTCGTCCTCCTCCTTGTCCTCTACTTGCTGCTCACCTCTGATGGGATCAGATGGATCGGCTCATCCAGCGGCAGCTCTGCGTAGTCCTCCAGCTCCCCTTCAACCCAACACCCGTTACCTCCTCCTCCTCCTCTCGCCTCCTCTCCGCTCACCCGCCTCGCAGTCCGCTGGCGGCATGCGGAAGCTCTCGCTGCTCCCCACCAGCGTCCACATATGCGACGCTTCTTCCTTCCCCCGGTATGTTCCCCCGCACGTGTAGATCCACACCTGCCTCCCTCCTTCACTCCTCGCCCTCCTCCTCCTGCCTCCCCTCACCTTCACCTCGCACGCCTCCTCCAGCCCGCACCCGCTGTACAGTCCTCGCACCATCATCTGCCGCAGCTAGGGTGTGACAAAATAACACAGACAGGAC